TTTATTAAAAGCAAAAGGTTGCCCAGCTACGAATCTATCGATTGTTACGAAACATTTCCAAAAACGATGCGCATGTAATCGGTCCGTAGCATTTTTTCAGTTGTTTGAACAAGCTTATCTGATTACTGTCTTATCTGTTTACTGTTCCCCAGTAGCCCAGTGTTACAATAACTCGATTGGAAACACAGCACTTATGTTAATTTTCTGGTAAACAATTCTTCGGTATTATGGAACAAGTAGTACATTTTACGTCTGTCGCTGTGCAAAATAAATAAATGCTGGGCTAGTGAGTGTAGTTTGTTTGTTTGTCGTTTGCACCGTAGACTATTCGTTTTCATTGGTTTTAGAATCGTCCGTTGGAAACGCGTATCCCAGGAAAGTTTAGCCCAATTTTACAAGTAATGCAGATGTTCTCTTTGATAGCTCAATCCCCGACGGGAAACAACTTGTAGGTGTGTGTCAGTGTGTTTTTGAAAGAGAATTTTAAAACGTAGTGCATTTTCGTCACACGGGTTACAGCACAGTGAAAGAAAATTCCTGAAATCTGTGAGTTTTGTTGCGTGCGCACCGATACTCTTCATAATACTTTTTTTCTATAAATGGACTAATTTTAGACTAGTGTCACAGCTTCCTGCCAAAATTGATTGATTTATATGCACCAAACAGTGCACATTCCACTCATTTGCAAACAAATTTGGTTTTGCGGGGAAATCGCCTGGAACTCAGCTGAATCTCTCGTTTATGTGGTTCGTCAATTTCGTGAAATTTGGTTTGATGTAGAACATAAGGTTGACGAAATCTCGGGGACTGCGCCTACTTGATGAGTCCCAAGAAGAGCGAAGTATTTTCAGCAACCCTATGAGTAGTGTATTACGTCTGTACGTGTATCGCGATATCTCGAATATCTTCGCAACTCTAATATGAGGCGGCCTGGTGCAGCACATTCAGCTGCTTAGAGACATAAACGAGGGATTCAGCTGAATTCAAGATGGGTCTCCCGCAAGAATGAGTTTGTATGCAAGTTGTTTGCTAACTTCGTCCAATTTGGCTTCAAGCAGAACATTATGTTAACGGACACTCGGCGGCTGCGCATACCTGATTAGCCCCAAGGAGGGTGAAACTGGTCGTGGACTGTCAAAAAATTTCCGGCAACATTATGAGTAATATATTACGTTCATATGTGCATCATCCAGTCTGGCTTGCCTAGTTTCCATTGTGGACGGATAAAAGTAACACATTCTCATTGAGTATGCAACAGCAAGAATTCTGTTTCACCACCGATAAAAAATGTCATAAGAAGCATGATTCGAAGTGAACATCTTAGTCAAAATAGCCCAATTTTTGGAATAAACAAACTAATACCTTATAAACAAGAGTGGGCGTATGACGTAGAGAAGAATCCGGTTGATACACAGTCAGTGTTTTATGGTAGAGATGCAAGCGGCTGACTTAACAGGGACACAAAAATGCCAGTCATATGATAACTGCTAGCTGGATAAGACAAACATTCGAGAGTACGTCAGCGTCCCCAAAAATTCTACGTAACTGCTGAAAAGGTCATCTTTCGAACAAACAGGCGAGCTATTAACGGATTCATTGTGGCAGCCGCAAAAGATCACGGAAATGGGACAACTCGACTGAGCAATGTTTCATTTTTCCCGAAACCTGTTTTACATCATGAATAGCATAAATCGTGATGCGAAATGACATTTCGATTTGAACTTGGTGTCACTACTCGCAGGCGAAAAGAGGGGAATCAACCTAAACGAGTTTGTCTCTAAGCGCGACCATTTTCTGCGGACGCGATTGTACGATTCGAACTGTATTTCACACTGAAATACTGCGCCGAACTCCCCGAGATTTCGGTGCTTCTAGTGACCCCCAACAGTTAACCATAGTCAGTGACCTCAACATCCGACTTGATAAATGTTGATGAAAAGGGGTTTATTTTTGTCTACATTGCTCCAAATCAATTTCACTGGTGCGTCATTCTCTGCGATAAACCACAAATTTAGGTCCGCTGATGTGAAATCTGTCTAGTCGAGAAGCATTCAACATTTTATTGATCGACATTCTGAATGGTGGTCACATCCGCACTATTTGTTCTAAACATACACGCACAGAGCACACAAGCAGTAGATTAGCTTTTCCTCCTGTTATATTTACGATGAACACAAGCAGATCAAAACCATTGGAAGACCAATTGAAGCTGAGGGCTTCGTACTTTGAAACATAAACAAAACGCTAAGCAAGTGCGAATTACGACTGGAATGTCAAAACCACTGCAGTGTCATTCACAAACACTTTCAGTAAATGAGTGTTTACATTAGACCACTGAACTGTGTCAACTACCTCAGTTTGTGGCCAGATTCAAACTGTGATAAAAATTGTAAGCGAATGAGATGAAGCACGACAGCTGTTTCGTATAAGTATAATACGAAGCTAGTAAAATGGCAATATATTTTTTGAAACTCATAGCTGAGGTTGGTGAGAAGTGGTCAGATTCTGGATCGATTTTCCGTGTGCAAACTAATTGCGGTTGGAGGTAAAGTCGTTCGGCGAAGTACACAAATATGTAACGATCCGGCAATCCGGTACTGTTTAATTGCCAAGGCAAAGAGACTTTAACTGAAGTCTCTTAAAGTCAGATTGAGTCTCAAGTCATTGACAGTTAGTTTTGTGCGAGCATCGCGGATAGGCACAGTCACTGTGCCGGTAGATACTGACGATCACCCAACTGATAAACCCAGAAGTCGGTAAAACTAATGTGTACTCAGCGGTTATCCGGTAGAGCAACACCGTGATCTCTGAATGAAAGAAATGTCATTGTATGTGATATTGCAATCAAAGACAGAGAAACCAAAGGTACCCGAAACCCAGAATTTACATACCTTTCCTGTACACTCAAAGGATTATCGCTCCAGCCAAACTAATAAGCCTTCTCCATGAATGACCTTTCATCGCAAATTCCAAGTCTTTGTTCACCAAGGAAGCCGTGAACGAGGTGTCAGCCAACTTCACAAACTTTGCAGCAATACCATTGACAACTCTCTCTGACGGGCCTCACTTACGATAATTTTTGTCACGTCCCATTTTTTGTTGATCAGTATTAGTAGTATTCTGATCAATCCTGCGACACCGTTGTGTTCACTAAAGAACAAAAAGGACCATCACTAGAAGTCGGGATATTGTAAGAATACCACTTTATTCTGACCCAGGAAAACACTTTTAGCCACCCTTTGTTGACTTAAAGCCATAAAACGTTTCAGAAATTTGTTGAGGAGATAAAATTATCGGTCCGTAGTTGCTACCGCTTCCTGATTAATTCTTCGACAAATTGAAGCATCATTAAATTGGTGAGGTAAAACAAGCATTGACTGGACTACATATTGGAGCAAACCAAAATTGTCAATGACTTCTAGCAATTTGAACCTTACTAGTTCTGTGTGTTTGAAGTTCTAAAAATTGAAAGTTGTTTAACATTAACGATGGACAAATCATTGACACATTGAATGTGCTGCACACGGGCCGCCTCAAGTTGGTACGATATTTCACACACCGGAATATAGTTAAATAAACGAAACTACTCACAAGGTTGCTGAAAGCTCTTTGACCAACGGATTCAATCAGCTGATTTCTAGAGTGTACTCAGTTCACGTATCAGACAAAGTTGAGCTTAAACCCCACTAGCAAACCAAAAGACCGGAAATAGGTTGGGCCACATGAACGAAGATCACAGCGGGAAGCACAGTGCAGCAAAGTTCACGGTTTAACTGAGTTCGCGCAACAACACCCGGAGTTTTGTGAGTTATATTTCAAAGATCTCTTGGACTTCATAAAGGAAACTACCCAACAGGTTGCTGAAAAATTCTCGACAGTCCACGGCTGGTTTCGCCCTTCTTGGGGCTCATCAGGTTGGTGCAGTCACCGAGTTTTCGTCAACCTTATGTCCTACTTGAACCCAAAGTGAAACGATTTCGTCAAATACACTCATTTGCAAATCATTTTGGTTTTCACGGGAGACTCAAATGGATATCATCTTTCGTGAAAATCAGATTGATTTTCAGATGGGTGTATTTGTCGAAATCTCTTGGGCTTCCTTATCTGTAGGTAGCTACACGCTTTACCATATCGCATGTATCAGTGGGTTTTTTTAATGGACCTGCCTGAAGGCCTCATAATCTTCTGAAGGAACGCACCTGCTATCAAATACGAACACAACTATGCCGGAGAGTTGAAGCTGTCTGTTGATGCGAGAATTGTTTCCCTTCAGAGAATCTTCTGCTCGCAAATACGATCTTTACTGGTTGCAGTACTGTGCGTAAAGATAGAATCGTTTGCTTGCACTAACGCGGGCAATTAGATGAGGGTTTTTGAAACTCTGCGTCAAACGAAACAGGCGCAAAGCATCAGTCCTTGTAAAGTGAATACATTCGGAAATCATTGATGGAGCTCCCAGTCTTTAAGTAAAGATTATCCATGCTGAAATGCTGGAAAGCACCATACAACTTTTTTCCCCTTACCGGGAAGAATTAATCGTTTGTGCTTCACAGAACCCAAGGAAGTGTCGAACGTACTGCTTCCGAGCTAGTACTTTTAACACTTAGCCATTCATTTCCATGAAATGCGCCTTACTTTCGGTTTCCACTAAGGGTAAAATAGCTGCACTATGCTCGCGATTTTTTTGCGATCGGCTGGCTTACTTATAGACGAAATCTGTACTATGCTTCGCGATTTTTTTTGCGATCGACTGGCTTACTTGTGAGACGAAATCCTTAAAAAAAAACAGTCGGAGGTTACCCAACACATGCTTAGAAGTGCTAGCAGGATACCCCCAGCTCGCCGAGCTCTGGGGCAATCCAGCGACCAAAATACCTTAATAAACATGATTTTTGCATGTCTGTAAGATGCCTAGTCACGGATTTGCTAGCGGTAAATTAGTGCCAAAGCAAATGGGACAGCTTGGCGATCAATCTAGAAAAACCCAGCGTAGAACTCACACGGAACACTTGACTTGGATCGAGGCATTCGTTACTAGAGGTTGTGGGCTCACATGCAGAGGATATATCATCAAATTTAGATTCCACCACATCTTGTGTCACATATACAACCGGACTACATTCAGTATCCATTTCTATCGGCGATGGAATATCCACCTCTGGATTCAATTCATCAGGTCCTGTTTTAAAAGGATGATCTTCAGTTGATGACGTCAAAGAAGCACGTAGCAGGTTCCTGGTGGATGTAATAAGACGGATAACATCGGAGCTAGAGTCCGAATGCTGGTCAGGTGAAGGGTCATCCGAGTCAACTCCGTCCGAAGACAAGGTTGAATCTGACTGTTTGGCATTCTCTTCACCAGAAGAATTATCCTTTGTTTCGTTGACTATGATCGGTGTTTTTCGATCACCAACATCCTCCATTTTTTCGTCGAATCGGTCACCGGAAAACTCCAATCAAAACAAAATTCTCACCATACACATCCGGCTTGAACATCAATTGCTAAAACTGCCAAGAAAAAACTGACACCCAAAATGCAGCCGTGCTTTTCACTACACAGTGTGACCAATCAGAAATCACTTTGGCTGGTATGCTGACATCACAGTGGTCGGACGGACAGTATGGGAACCTCGGGCGTAAACAACTAGCTAATCAGGACGCTACAAACAAAGCAATGTAAGTATTATTGATTGACGTTCTGGTCAACTGTTTACAAGTGTTGACTGGCAGCTGGTAGAATAAAACTGGCGGGACGCTTCAAAACAATCGGGGATAGGGGCTTTGGGTGTTTGTTTGTGGCCGAGTAGACTGGTGATATTGCTGGGCGTGTCTCCAGAAGTGCTGACATTCATTTACTTAACGGTTTAAGCACAAACAACAAATCATTATATACAAAGGACCTATTGATACTCTGATCGCAGAAAGTGAATCTGTTCGGAAGGATAACAAACAGCTCACTTAAAATTTAAAAAAAACATGGATTCGCGCAAAAGTTAAGTTTGGAGGAATCATTCGTCAATAGAAAATCAGGTACGAAAAATTCAACCCGTGGAACCGACATAAGATCGTCCAAGATTCAAACATTTCACTTAAGTCGTAGACGAATTGACGCAGTTTTCAGCTGATGGAAATCAGTGAAGGTGCTTTGTTCAATTCCGCTAGGTTTTGCTTCCCCTCAAGACGTTCTATATTGTTAATTCATCGCGTTTTTCCGCATGTTCCATACATGTATTTTCATTTTTTTTGCTGTTTATTGCTTTGAATTTTGATCCTTTACACATTTTGATTTTAATCAACTGTACCAAAATACAGAAACTCCGAGGTTCTCAGTTTGTTCATCTCTCTTGGTTGGCAGGCTCCCTTGCATGTTACCTTGGAATGTGGCCATGAATGTCCCACGTGCTGGAAACACATCTGTTTTGAATGGAATTTTTTTTGAAGAGGATCCCCAAACAGCCTCTCACTCTCTACAGTACCGAAGTTTTAATTCGCGAATTGTTCAGCAGTAAATGAGCGGACCCATCTTAAAATACAATGCGCGAAGCTGGGAAGAATCGCACAGCGAAAATATAAGCTTGTTCCATCTATTCATCTCTGAAATATCATTTCATGGTTGGCTAACTGACATTCTGGGTCAGTCGATTTAAAAAAACCGGTTGTTTCCGATCGATTGATGAAGGGATTTGTTCTGAGAGTAATTACCGGTCGTAAACTGACAGTCTGCCTGGGGAGTGAGGGCAGTTAAATCACTAAATTCTCTTCAGCCGTTTCCACACCTTGCTAAAAACATGGATCATGCAGATTGACATGGCCTCAATCGAAATAACCAGCAACCTACTGATTTTCTCAGATAATATAGATGATGAGTTTTTTTCAGCTAGAATAGGGTGTGCTGACCTTCGGTTTTTTCCAAAAATAATGAAAAATATACGACGAATGGGTGATAGTCTATTCAGTCAATGGGAAAATGCTTGGAACGATTAAATACTCATCGCCTACGGAAATGTTTGGTAGCCATCGGTAGATTTATTGCTGGGCAGTGTTTTGCTTTTGACACAAAACCTTCGTCAGGCTGAGTGAATAGGTTTCGAGGTAGGTCGAGATTTAATGTGGAAAGAGAATCAATCAGCTAAGTCAAGCTAAATCTGTATGAGGTGTCGGCCGAGAAATCTTGTGCGTTAGGGTGGATCACCAGGACTTAAGCCGATGGAGGGGCCTAAATGGATTTGGTCCCAGCTTGGGGTCAAGTGATTCCGGTTCGGTTCCCGTTATGACCCCTTTCGAATGCCGTTTGTACTTTCCGTCCGTCCTTTTGGGTGAGTTAGTGCTACGATTTTTGCTTAAGAAAGATTTAGTGACTTTGGTCGAATTGAGATTTCCACCCCAGTGTTTTTGCTGATGATTCTACGTGCACTGAAGTCTACAGGGTCACGTATCAACTCGGCTTTTCTAAGACCGCCTTCCATACACTTGCAAGTTCTACACCCTCGATTCTGTTCACGCTGTGATTTTTGGGGATAGCCTTTATTCCAGAAAGGCCATAAGTGCAGTGGCGATTAAACCGTGGCCACTGGAAGAAAAATCAATCTTTGCCTCCTGCGAAGAGGCTCCTTATCTTCGCAAGTTACTTGCCAAGCTTTTGAGGGAAGCGTTGCGTTGTAATTTCGCGTAATGCGGATCTTTTGCAGTGTGTTACTTGACGTCTCACGCCACATCTTCACAAATCACCTTCGTCTTATTCAGCAGCTGTGATTTACGCGTTTCACTACGCTTAACCCACCGTCGCACAGAGTTCTGCGATGGATACCTCCGCAAAAAAACAACGTGTACAGGCACTGCTGACTTCAGCTTCTCACCGATAGTGAATAGGTAAGGCGTTTTGCGCCTTTTTGGTGACTGGTGTCTGCTGAAATTACTATCCGGCACGCTTGAAGACAAGTTGGTCTGGTGGGAAAGAGAAAATGAAATAAACTGTTAAGCGTGGCGGTCGATATGTTACCAGATCGCTCACGCCGAAAAAGGAGCAGTCAGGATATCTGAGTTTCGGTTCGAACCACGGACATTCCGATTAGAAAGTTTACTTCATAACCACCGGGCTATCTCCACTGATGAGAGTGATGTCAAAAACATCTCCAAGAAAAAAGCTCAAGATAGTTTCCCATTGATTGCGAAATCGCTTCTTATGTAATCAAAGCATTTCCGGGCCCTTTTCCCAGAAGTTCAGTACCGCTGCATTTCACCTTGGAGATGCCTAATTTTAGATAACTTCAGTGGTTACTTAGTTCAATCAATCATCTGGTTTTGGGCGGCTGAATATACCCATTGTAGTCATGAGAACGAAGAAGGTAGCGAACAAAGCTTGTTTTCTGTGATTGTTCATCTTGGCTAATACATCACAAATTTATATGGTAGCAGAAATCACTTGGAAAAGGTTAAGATCGGGGCTACACTTTAGAGAAATAGAAGTCAAAGGAAGGGTTTTGGGTGAGGGGTAGGTTAATGGGTTATGACGTCAATGTCAGACAGACTTGTGGGATCAGATGTTTCGTAGGCCAGTTCAAGTTCAGAGGTCGCACAAGTTTCTTTTGGATGCAAAGTTGTGGATCCAGCAGTCGGATTCCTATCGCCTCTGCGATCGATAGTAGTTTGGATCGTACCAGTCGTGGTCCGTTCAGAGGTACCCGGTATATGATGGTGAAGGCTTGCTCCTTGTCTACGATATGACAGGTTTCGGCCAAGTGTGCTGCAATTGCGCTTGAGCCTGGTTTCTTTCCACTACCACTGGTTTTGCAAGCGTATTGCTAGTGTTTGTGGGTGGGTTGGAACTGTCGATGCTTTTCAGGCATATATATATAACGAAATATGTCCAGGCAGTTTGTTCATACAGTGATTTCGCTAGGAAACCTGAAGGGGGTGGACCCTGATGTAGTTTGTTGGGTTTGTTGACCGTTCGGCTCATAAGGGAGCCCCCAACCGATCCGTGGTATATAATCAATACCGAGTCATTTCTGAAACACCGGTGCACTGCGGCGAATGGAATAATACTCAGTAATTAAAGAAGCATTGTTAGAAAGCAGTTAAGCAAAATTCATGATGGTTCATCAGATTACCTAGAATTAAAAAAAGACCAGTAGAACGTAAGGCTGACGAAAACTCGGGGACTGCGCCTACCTGATGAGACCCAAGAAGGGCGAAACCGGTCGTGAGCTATCGAAGAGTTTTCAGCAACCTTGTAAGTAGTTTCCTTCATGAAAAATATACTGCGATATCTCGAATATCGTACCAACTAAAACATGAGGCAGCCTGTGTGCAGCACATTCAGTTGTAGAATATCATGAACGAGAGATTCAGTTGAGTCTCTCCTGAGGACCTAATTGATTTGCAAATGAGTGTATTTCTCAAAAACAGTCCAATATGGGTTCAAGTAGAACATAAGGTTGACGGAGACTCGGGGACTGCACCTACCTGATGAGCCCGAATTGGAAGGTAGAAAAACCGGTTTACCTCCAAGTTAGCAAAAGACCTGGTACAGGGATGCAGCCATTGACTGCCAGATTATTAAACAACGAGTTAAGCTGGAAACTTTCTAAACAAGTTGGAAAAAACATATACATCGAGGAAGAACGAACATGTTCTCATTTGGAACCACTGCCAGTTCACGTCAGTTCAGAATGTTCTTGGAAGAAAGATTGCAACGGAAGAGTCATTCGATCCTAGAGGATAGACTCATAAACAGCCGTAACCAGAGACAACAAAGGGTGAACAGCATCCAGATTGATTGCTATGGTAGCAGTGTAAAATCCGGAACACAACAGCGGTCACTTCGTTACTCTGAATACGTCCGTTCAGAGGTACCCGGTATATGATGGTGAAGGCTTGCTCCTTGTCTACGATATGACAGGTTTCGGCCAAGTGTGCTGCAATTGCGCTTGAGCCTGGTTTCTTTCCACTACCACTGGTTTTGCAAGCGTATTGCTAGTGTTTGTGGGTGGGTTGGAACTGTCGATGCTTTTCAGGCATATATATATATAACGAAATATGTCCAGACAGTTTGGTCATACATTGATTTCTCTATGAAACCTGAAGGTGGTGGACCCTGATTTAGTTCGTTGGGTTTGTTGACCGTTCGGCTCATAAGGGAGCCCCCAACCGATCCGTGGTATATAATCAATACCGAAACATTTCTGAAACACCGGTGCACTGCGGCGAATGGAATAATACTCAGTAATTAAAGAAGCATTGTTAGAAAGCAGTTAAGCAAAATTCATGATGGTTCATCAGATTACCTAGAATTAAAAAAAGACCAGTAGAACGTAAGGCTGACGAAAACTCGGGGACTGCGCCTACCTGATGAGACCCAAGAAGGGCGAAACCGGTCGTGAGCTATCGAAGAGTTTTCAGCAACCTTGTAAGTAGTTTCCTTCATGAAAAATATACTGCGATATCTCGAATATCGTACCAACTAAAACATGAGGCAGCCTGTGTGCAGCACATTCAGTTGTAGAATATCATGAACGAGAGATTCAGTTGAGTCTCTCCTGAGGACCAAATTGATTTGCAAATGAGTGTATTTCTCAAAAACAGTCCAATATGGGTTCAAGTAGAACATAAGGTTGATGGGAACTCGGGGGTTGCGCCAAACTGATGAACCCCAAGAAGCGCGAAACCGGTCGTGGGTCGTCGAAGAGTTTTCAGCAACCTCGTGAGTAGTTTCTCCCATAAAAAAGACCACTTTTAGTCTTCTTGAAAAAGGGATCACATGGTTAAAGATCACCCTGTCAATTAGGAGGTGATTTTATATTTGGCCTCCAAGTTTGCTCACTGACGATGTAACAGAAACTATAATGTTTACCCAAGTGAGATCATACGACAGGCTTGCATTTGCCAGTTTTTTCTCCTCAATCTGTTGTTTTGATTCTGGAATTTTTCACAACCCGCCATTCAGCGCTCAAGTGTACTTTCGAAACAGGCAGGAAAAACAGATTTTACGACCGTCCGATTGCTTGACACAAGTGTAACAACTCGCTGTCTTCAAGGGATTTGCATATATCTACCAGTACGTTCAGTGAATCTCAGCAGATTGTATAACTAAGACACGAAAAGATCTAATGTTTGCCAGCCACACAGGGAGGGGGCTAATGCAAAGTGACCAAATCTAATGGCTTCCCGTCTTCGTGTATGCGTTTCATTTTGTCTGCCTTTCACGACGCGTTCTATCGAGAGAACCTCGAGGAAGTGAGCTAAGTGGGAAATCATGTACGTTTGTGTCATCATGCTCAAAATTTCACCATCATCAAAACGAAATTTGGAATGATAAACAAGAAAACACCGGACGAAATGGGACACGTTATAAAAAGTGATAATCAAGACAGGATGTGACACGATAAGGATATGACGAGGATTCAGATACCCTAGACGGTTTCTTTTTCAATTTATGACTAATACAAAACCGGACGTAGTGCCTGAAAACGAAGTTAGATTTTGAATAAAAGGTGAATCTGCTAGCTCTACGCATAGGTCCACTGTTAACATGGAAACTTCAAACTCACTCAAACCACTCTGAACATGCGCTATGCTCTTGTGATACAATTCCTTGTCATACAGTCCTCTCCACAGCAATATCTCTGATCGGATATACTGCTTCGATCTTCGTTCAAGTTTTAAGGTCTGAATGGCATATTTTAGAAGTTTTTTTAAAGACATTATGCACAGTTTGCGTTTGATAGTATGCATCACGAATCGCTCAGTGGACCTTTTACGGGCACATTGGAAAGTCGGTGAGAGATATTACATTTGGGAATTGCGGATTTTCCATTCACGTCATTGTCATGAGCGTCTGGATCATGAGGTTGATACATTTACGGAACGTGTGGTCGAACAACTTACTATGAACCACATTACCATATGGCCCATAAATCTACAATGGCTGCACCAGTGTGCGAAACTGTACAATTAATTAATTCGGCCTGCATTTAGTAGCAAAGACATTGACCAGACATCAAGGCACCTGTTTGAGACAGCCAACGGACCTTTAACAGGTTGACCACTTAAAGAGGAGAGCGAAGTGAGTTTAAGAGAACATCGGGGGGATATTTGGTCGAACTAAACCGCACGAATCCTACGCTCCAAACGGTCTCTCCTGGACCATTTGAAAAGCCGACTGTGATGCGTGGCGCCAGCTGAGACCATCGAATTTGCCCGCATGTTTCGGTTATGTGTGAACACAACCCGTTCTTTTTTCAGCCCAGCCTGGCTAAACTGTGTCGCTTACTTTCAAAAGGTACGTGCTCGAAACATGTTTGAACTACGGCCAACAGCACGTCACTTTTGCTCTGTCAACTCATCCGCAAACGGTTTGTTCACATACAGATGGCCTGTCACTTATTTGCACCAAAATTCAACCAAACTAACTTAATTCTTTCCCATCTGATGAGTTGGAAAGGAAACTTTTGAAACAATGATCGAAAACAACTGTTAGGATTTGAATTTTGAGGGCTATGTTGCCTTAAATAAAAGAGGAACTTGATGGAATGCGATACGTTCAGGTTACCTTAAGGTGAAAAAACAACTATATTTTCTGTGAATCTTACATTACATGGGGACATTTTTGTTCACTATATTTTTTCCACTCAATAAACTTTATAGCCAATCTGGGAGTATGAGGTAGAAGGGTGTGTAAGAGGGTGGTATAAAAACCGTAATTGAATGGTTACCTAAAGACTTGGATCACAAAACATTTTGCTGTGATATGCTGAAGTCTCCATTCATAAATCACAGGCAAAACATCTCGTAATTTCCACACCCTTAATTATCAGTGTGAATGTAAGTGGGAGGCCATTCAGAGGTTATCATTAGTGTCCGATTAAGCTTCAATTGTACTTCGTCGCCTACACGGTCGCTTGTGAGATCCTGACTCGCGAGCGGGATTTCTGCCCGGTAGGGGTTGCGTTGG